CAGAAAGTTATTAATACATTTTTAAATTGTACCACATCAGAGTAAAGACCGTTTAAAACCAATTCAAACCGGTTCTGAATTGTGTCACTTCAACATCTCAGTTGTATCTGCGACTCACTCATAAACCTCTTACGCATCAAATAAGAAATATCCTTGGACCATGCTTTATCAGAAAAAAGGTGCAAAAGTTAGACACTTTTGACAAGATTATTTATTACTTCGTCACTGACGGATGTAAACTCGTATAGTTTTGCCAGTTATTAAGTTTTTTTTCGTGTAGTCATGTGATTTTTATCGCTCAAAATGCGCTATTTCAAAAAAATACACCAATATTGAGTTAAGGTATGGAGTGTGTTTACCTGTTGTAACTATGTATGCTTCTTTAAAATGATATGTTATTATATCCTCGTCTTACATGTGTGAATTTATCTTATGAACAATAAAGGCTAAAAAACGTCGAATAACTGATGTAATAATTGCAGTATTTCTTTCTTCATACAGACCACCACAAAGTTTTGCGTCCGTTAGGTTTAATTTTATAGTCACTTGTAGGATGACATAGAAGGTCTTATTTTTTTAACACATCAATTTAATTAAAAAACTTGTGTACTTGATCCCATATTAATTTTTCTGTAAAGCTAATATAATAAATGGAAAAATGACAAAAATAATAAGATAGCTGTTGTCTCATCGATAGTATCACTTCATAATTCGTATATACTTAGTATTGTCATTTTTATAGTTATGATTTACTTACATCTTCTGTTAAAAGAGTCAACGATATATTCTCTTTCAATCATATTTTGTACAGATATAAAAGGACGGGGGACGATAAGAGGCAAAATCGGCCCCCGCTCAAATCAGTATTACGTTAACTCATCTGATGCAACTTTTGTCCATAATCAATGCTATCATATTTTTAAACCTTAAAAATTCTTTTCAGCGCCTCTAGACACATTTTAGCAACAGCAACTCTTCTCCCGTTAAACGACCTTTACTCAAAGCATTTACATTATTCAACCCCTTTCATCCAGACCAAATATCCACTACTATACACCATTCTTCGGGCTATTCAAAACAGTATTCAGATTGGTTTCAGCTTTTACTAAAAAGTAAAAAACAAGGGAATTCTTGTGATTATGACACACTGTACTGCTTAGATAACACCCAAAAGCTTCTTTTCCATATCTTTAATGACTGGCCCCATCTTTCTGGATATTGTGACCAGCTCACTTTGTAGAGACTTTCAAGGGTTATCCAACGGTATGTTTTCGAACAATACATACTTTTTCGTTATGGCAGAAAAACGACTAACAGAGTGTTCAAAGCACTAAGATAGGTGAAAATCATTATATCGGCCAAGTATTTCAACTATTGACCAATGTGGACATATTTTTGAAAGACGTATTCATAGTTCATTTTGGAGCTCGTGAAATTCTCCATCGAATGACATATATAGTCGTGTCAAAACCAAATATGCAGAATTGTACCCCTTGAAATTTTCTATTGATTGACAGCTAAGACGAATTTCTTCCCTTTATTTTGCGCTTATAATCATGGTTTCCGTAAAAAACCCATCATTGCTTTTTCGAGTTACATGTTAGAGCTATTCGCAGATTGATGATACTTCGGACAAAAGTAAACCAATTAAGCTCGATCAGGTGTCATTTGAAAAAGAACATTTTTTCCTACTAAATTCACATCCAAAAAGTATGAAATAATTTTATTTTGAAAAAGAACGAGATCATTACATTGGCATTTCGCTGATTTATTACGGCAACCTATTAATTAGCCATTTTTACCGGGTTGACGCAAGGAGGGAAAATGAATTCTGTGCTGTCAGATAGAGAACATCTGAATGTGTAGAACAGCAACTTAGGATATGGCTTGTATTCCTCTTTTAGCATAGATTTCAAATTAAAAAAACTTACGTTCGCGAAACGACGTTATAAACGTAACGTAAGTTACGTGTAAGTTACGTTTATAACGAAAACGATTATATTTTTCACGTTTTCGAGGTAGATCATGTTTTGTTCAGCTGGAACAACCGCTCAAAGTTCCGGCTTGTCGTTTATACACCATTTTGTAGAGAATTGAACGGGGAATCTTTTGGTAGTAGAATCAGTTCGATTGAGTTTAAGGAAGAGGAGAAAGATTTAAATTACTAACAGCGCAATTGTTTCTGCGCCACCCATTACTACTGGTTTAGAAAATGAAATAAGAACAGTTGTTTGATTTTGTTTGATATAAAACGAAAAGTCGTAAAATATTTGAATCCATTACATACATTTAGATGATTAAATACATGAATTATACTCATTAGTATTCTCCCTCACTCAAGAAGAAAAGGATCCTCGGGGTATAATTCAAATGTTGAATTAAAACTGATATTTACCATATTGTCACATTCTGTACAATATTCACAATGAGACCATGTTCGACGTTCCCAGAATATTCCAAAATGTTTCTTAAGCAAGTTCTTCTCATACGTCGTTTTCTTCTTCCTTTTTTTTATACACTACGAAAACCATTGTTTTTTACGAAAAGAAAGTCGTTTATCGGATAAACACCGGACAAAGCTCTGTTTAACTATATTAATTCTGTCACATTAAAAGCAAATTTCCAAATACTTGACTGGAAAACTCATTGCTTTTTTGATCATTTATCTAAATCAGTTTACATGCTATTTTTTACCAAAACACTGCTCGAAATAAATTAAAATTTGAATAAATTGGAAAACCTAATATTATGCTTTGAATTAATCTAACGGAACGTATCGTCATTGTTGTTTACGTAAGTAGATGTTATTGTTTTGTAAAAGACAAATCATTCTATTGACTTGAATATACATATAATTGACTATACGTACGATGCTCCCTTTTTGCTTCCGTAATAGTACAGGTAAAACTCAACCTTCGAAAAAAAACCTGTCAGATACACTTTTTCTTTCCATCTATTTGTCTCATGGACATCTTACTGTCTTTGACTCACACCTGTGTACAGTATGACTTGATCTGCTAGTGTATACAGACGCATGCACACTTTTTATTCAAAACATGATTTAGAGTTTTTCTCAAATGTACTCTGATTATTATGATTATGATTCTTCGGATAGCGAAGAATCATTTACTTATCATAATTATAGTGTAGATTATGCAAATCAATTATTACGAGGAGAACATCAAATTATTTCTACTATACCGGCATCAGCACGGTTTCCAAAACGAAGAAGACAGAAATTGGTTCGAGTCGCTACACTTGATCAGATGCCAAATTTAGTAACACCACGAAGACAACCTTTCATCACAGACATATCGAGTATTCATAGTAGACCAAAATATAATGAAGATAGTTTACCACCAATTCAAGATACAAGCGCTGAGTTAGAAAGAAGAGCACAAACAAGACAAAGACAGTTTGGGTCTGAACAACAGGCTGGTGAGCAGGAAGAAAATTATAGAATAAATGATCAAGATCAAAGAGCAAATCAATCATCAAAAATTCCTCCAGCTCCTCCTATACCCGCTCATTTTAAACAGCCGACTCAAGAGACACAAGAGCAACATCATACTGGAATGCCATATCAAATGAACAATGCTGACATAGCACAACTTCAACAACAGCAACAATTATTTAACCAACAAATGATAAACATGCAGAATCATCCTCATTCGATGCATCATCACGAGTCTCATCATCATGCGAATCATACCCATTCGCATATACATGATATAAATCGGGAGGATGATCAAGCTTATATTGCACATTTAATTGACACAGATCCTTATTTTGCTACAGCTATGCAAGATTTTGGCATCTCACATGGTATATGGAGACCAAGATTAAGGAATCGGTAAAGTAGTATAAGAAATCAAATTTGCGGTTTTCCGAGATTATAGTATTGTTCTTTAGCTCTTCATCTGGTCAATCAACAGAGAATATTTCCACTATGCATCGGCATTTATGCGACTATCATAGTGCTCAACACAGACATCATCGACACCGGGCATACTCCAAATCGCCTTCTTCTTCCTCTTTAAGTTCTGTAACATCTTTGACAAGTGCATCTGGCGAAAACATACCGAATAATTTACTTAATGAAATCCGACAGATCCGAAAAATGATCAACAGATATTTAGATTCACGACAACATACTTCTCACCACGGCTATCCTCAGCCCAACTTTTTTCCAGTGCCGTGGCCAGTTTGGCAACCACCTCAGGGATACCAGCCTCAAGGATACCAGCCTCCCATTGGTACTCCTCATGTGCCATCTCAAAACTATATTCCTCCTGAACCGCCACCACCGTCCCGTGATCCTTTCCCACACATCCCAGCTAATGAGCCGCGTCGAGCACTTTATCAGAATATAGTTAACACAATAAAAGACGTTTTGAGCAAACGAGATCCTTCTAAACAAGATCAACCCTTGAAGCCTAGTGAAATCGCACCAGGTGTTCGAAAGATTTATACGAGGCGTCCACGATTTCTACCGTCACCGTCGTCACAGCAACAAAATCGATCAGTCGTCACTAATCCACCTATTCTTCCACTAAATCAACAACGACGAAGGTCTTCAGTTTCATCAAGAAACTCAAGCATACGACAGTCTCCTCTCGTACCCAAAGAACCATCACTAAACAGAAATCGATCTTCGTTATTGAGACAAAAACCACCAATTCCCCCTGCTCCGCCTTTACCACCATCAAATATTCCGCCAGCTCCACCTTTCCCACCATCACTCAATGTTCCAGTGAGTTTAAATTTCTGTTGTTATTCTAATATGAATTCGTAGCTTAAAGTTAGTTTTTAGATTTCTATTCAGAATTAATATTTTTTATTCGTTTAGCCTGCGCCTCCATATGAACCATTAGCTCGTTTTACTTCTACATCCAACCGATCGTCCTCATTACCTCGCACAAGAAATCTGTCGTATGGAGCGAAAACTGCAACACGGAATACTGTTGCCTTCAACAGAAGACCTTCAAAGACAGAAATGAGAGCTCAGTTCGAACCGAAATTATATGATAAATTACGTCCTGAACAAACGGTATGGACACGGCAATCAACGTAAACTCTAGGTTTTTTCTCAGATGTATTTGAGTAAACTGGATCACAGATAAAATAACCAATATTTGGTTAAAATTAGGACTATTTATAACAAGTTATGTTCGTTTGCTTTCTACGGACAGTTAGAACTTACTACCTGCACAAAACTTAAAATGTTTGAAAAGTGTTAATCATGAAAATGCAAAGATGAGTTTCAATTCATCATTCTACGCTCACTAAAGCAACAGTCTATTTTTAGCGGCCTTTAAATTTTGAAATTATTCTTATTCTTCCACAAACTTGGGCAGTATTTGCCGTTTGAAGGAAACTGATACTAGCATTTCGCTTTTTCTTTTTTTTCAAATTAATACCGTCGCGTTTACGGCGTTATGCTGGGAATATGCCTCAAACAAAATTATTAGCACTGTTAGTCCGGTCTCATAGCCCGAACGGGATATCGCTTGTGAGACCGGACTGACTGTGTAAACAGTAAAACCCATTATTATACGTGCCATTTCCATGGTCAACTGCAATAACTAGAGAAAAACGTTATACCCGCACCGATTAGTGTTTTTTGAAAAACTTTTGAGTAGAATGAGTTGCAAATCTGCAGTTCCGATCATTTTGCAGTCTAGATCTGATTTCATCGATTACTTGAAAATCAAAGTCACAACTCTAACTGTAGATGGCATATCTGAAGGGTTTTTGCAACAGCCAAATTGCAGCTCTACTGTCCTCACATATAAAACTTTGAAACCTACTGTATGTGTTTTCAGTCCAAAGGTTTACTGATGCCGACACAGATGTACATTTTACATGCAGTAACTAGTCCTAATTTAGCATACATTATTGATGAGTGTGTGTTACAATTATTGAAAGTTCTTTATTTAATGATAGCCACTACATCACATCACTATTCGTTCTAAACAGTCAACGTGCGACGTAATGTGTTGGTGATCGTCACCTTGAAGAACAAAAATGTTCAAAAATTCGATCATCCTCATCCGTATACTCTTCTATTCTACATTAATTAATATATTATTAATAAACTACTCATTACTAAGAATTAAATAATTATTAATAAACACATAAAACAAAATTTTTGTGTCGTGGAATGTTAAAGATCTCTCTTATCCTAGAATCAGAAGGATATTGAATTATTACCATTTCGTATGAATATTTTCCAAAAAGAAACATATATTTTAAATATTTCTAATCGTGGTCGATAGTACTCCTAAAAATTTGAAAAATATGAGAATTTTTACTTACTATTATCATCTAGTATAATTATTTCGATGTATTCAAATATTAAATATAAATTGAAAACGTTAAAAAAGGAACTACACAATAAATCGTAATTTTCTCGACAAGGGATGATTAAAAGGGTACTTTATTACATATCCTTGTAGTAGAGTAGTTTTTAATATCGCACTCATTCATCTGTTCTTTGAACGGACGTATATCGAACCCAGTTTCTCATACTCCGTTGCATTCCTACTCGTAACATTTCTAAGTTTTCAGATTGAATTGAGCGCACTTTCATCAAACTGATACGATTAAAAATCAACCACAATCGAAGTGTTAGAAACAACGAAATTACTTTCATACTTTATATGAAGATTGAAAAAATCTTAGATATGTTGTTCATTCTAGCCGAATTTTAAAGTGTAATAGTATACTCTTTAACGTATTTCTGCGGTATCATTTTTGCTGAAAGTTAAAAATATTCTTGCTCAACTCATGTGTAAAGGATCTCTTAGACTATATTTGTAGTCTATCTCGATGGTATTCTGATACTTTTTAATATCCTCCACGATTCTAAACAACATTTAAATGAAATGTTATTGATACTCAACAACGTGCACGCCAGTTTTATTTCAAAAAATACTCTGTAGTGGTGCGAGAAATAGACGTTCTGAGTAACATAATCAGCAAGAATCGAGTTAAACTATATGATGACAAAACTGAAACTAACATTGGATTTACATCGCCGCAAACACTTGATGATGCTAAGAGAAGAGAAACTGATTTTCTATTGTGTTTAAATTATTTTCATCAAGCACAATAATTCAATAAGTAGAAGATAAAAAAAGATTAGCTAATGATATTTATGAACAAATCGTTACATCAATTCTCTATTCTTATCTACAGCGGTTATTGTAGCGATTATTGTCGAAAAAGAGTAAACAATAACAACAACAATCACTACTTATTGATCAACATCGATCTGAGTTAAGGTTAGATACACTATAATTATTGAAATTAGCACAAGATATTCAATATATGCTTTGTGGTATCCACAATTGACTTTGAAAATTTTTCTGAGAAAAAAGTCAAGCGAATAATATTCAGTGTGGAAGAAGAACGCATTGTGGCTATCCTTAGTGATGTAGAGTACTGATAACTGTCAGTTTCAATAGCTCGACATCTTCCCTGCAGTTGGCAAGCTTCCGACATGGTTTCCCATGTTGTTGCTGGTTATCAACTGCCGCTCTGACCAAAAGGTTAGCCTGATACAGAGTTCTGTTCGCTCAACTACTTAAGTTCCACATATACCTTCACTAGCTTTCCGGAAAAACACGAAGACTAATCTGAGAAACTGTACTGTACATCACAACGTAGTGACTATATTATCCAACAGATGCGATGAGACGCCAGACATAAGTAACTTTCCTAAGGTTGTTACACGACTCGGCGATGCTGAGGTTTGAACACAGTACCTGTAAAGTATGTGACGAACAATATAACCACTGTCCATATTCAATATGATATCAATCATTAGTGCAATAAGTTTTACAAATTGTCACACAGCAGGGATATCGTTCACTATTCAGAAGATGTTTCCATCAAAACTTTCATGCATGTTGCTATGTTATTGTTTATATGTACTACCTTTTTTCTAATAGGACATTTGACACAAACAAAATCTTATACGGTTCGATTCGGCAGACTAATTAATACTCAAAAAATAGTTAATATAAAACAATTACTATAAGGTCGTAATTGTTATGGTTCATTATACAAAGTATGACAAGATGAAGAAGCAAATTCATCAAGAAACAAAATGAAAAGACGCCCTCAAGCCTTGGCTATTGAATGACAAAGACTTCAGTCCTCCACCATCTATCTATTTAAAAAATGAGCGAATTCATTCTATTTGTAATGCAAAGTAGCACAAAGTCAACATTATCCTCTCACTATACAATATAAACAATATGGATTTTCTCTTTAACCTGAAAAAATTTCTTTATTAGTTTTATTTTTTGATAAAACTTAAGTACATAAATATCGTTTCTAAGAGATAGACACACACACACATTCTGGTTCTAATAAAAGATTTAACAACAAGAAATGATGCACGTACGCAAATTCACAAAGAAAAATTACAAAAACACAGCGCACACGCACGCAAGAATAAAAAAACAAGAAACCAAAAAAAGGCTTTTACATTGTTAAGTTAAGACAATAATAAAACGTAAGATTTGAAGAATGATGATGAGATTGATTGTATATGGTGATGGTGATGGATGGCAAAGCGAAAGAAAGAAAAGATAAAAAAAGACAGAAAAGAAATTACTTATTTTATAAAAACTGAAGTTTTTGAGTATCTATCTATACCCGTAAGAAGTTTGCTCTCCCTCTCTGTGATAAATATTCTCTCTCACTCTTACTCTCTCTAGGATCTGTATGTGTACAAAATAAAAGAAACCAAAAAAAAACCGTCACTGTTTTTTTCTAAGCATACACACACACACACTCACATGCACACACACACACACACACACACACATCTACACACACGCATCTATTGCAGTTAATCGAGAGGAAAACAAAGTGCTCAATGAGCATACGAAGGAAAAGAAAAAAAGCAGAATAGCGGCCTAGAATAATATTAGCATGCATGTATTGTAGTCATCAAGGTAACATCAAGCTGCTGTTTACATGACAACAAACACAAAATGGATGAATGATAACCTCCGTTTCCAAAAAATGAAAAAGAGATCACAAAAAATGATAGTGTCTCAAGAAGAAGGCTATTCAATGAGCTCCGAGTGTAATACCAAATGATGCCGATGGTGGTGGAGTATCAGATTGATGATAAAAATAAGGTGTTGTTGTTGATGTATCACCAAAATAAGACAAACGATTACGGCGTTGTGTAGTAGTAGCACTTGTTGTTTGTTGTGAAAGTAATGGTACATATTGGTTGTGATTGTTATTACTACTACTAAGACCAATCCAACACGATTCTTCTTCATCAAACTAGGAAACGAAAGGAAATGTAATTAAATGATATATTTTCAGATATGTTTTTTTCTTGCTCAAAGAGTTAAGCACATACTGGTTCACTTGTGTTACGAGAACATTCTTTCCAAAATCCAACTGCTCAAACAATGTTGACACTTACACTTTGTAAACTTGCACTCGACTGTGATAAATCATTTTTACCAGTATGATGATGATGATGATGATGGGTATTTGCTAAGAGACTTGCTTCGATAGCATTTGTCATATCTAAATCGACTAAATCTTTTGAATTTACATCGTTGACAAATGTTGTACGATCTACATCTGCCAAACTTGCTCCGATTTCATTCAGTGATGGTAATGATGAATTTTTCGTAGAAAATAGCAGATTATCTTCACTTTCTATTAATAAACAAAGAACGCACATAGTTAGAGGGTTATTCAACAGTTATTTTTCTCATACTTACTGCATACGGTGGGTAACACAGACATACTTCGACTATCCGAACGTAATAGAGATGATGAACCCACTGACGCAAGACGATAATTACCCAAGTCCTAAAACCATATTTAAGAGACGGATATCTCATAATTCTCAAAACGTTTAGAAACTGATATTTCTAAATATTCAATTTTGTTACCGTTGTCTGAGTTATATGATGATTATTGTTGTTTCGATAATTATCGTCAGTGAAAAATGCCTGTTGATCATTTGAAAAACTAGAAAAATGGAGATAAACTAAGAAATATTTGGTATGAGAAGGTGGTATATTTACTTTTGTGATGGAGGAGTTGTAAGTTGTTGTTGCTGTTGAGTATGAGACATTGGAGAATAAAAGACATCTGGAGAACTTGTCGAAAATAAATCATTTAAGTTTACTTGCTGTTGACGATTTTGATCTCCAGTTTGAATAAAAGCAGCTGAAAAAACAAGAAAAAAGTTGGGATAACCACAACTTTTTCTAGTATGTTGATTTTAAGTAAAGTAATTCGTTATGTTCTAGATAAATTACTTTTTCTACATCTATCTGATACCTTTTTGACACAAAACACCTTTGTTCTGTATTATTTATTTGCTGCTTAGCTTCGCTCAACAATCCAACGAGGGAAACCTATTTACAGAATGTATCAAATCGTCTTACCATTCATGCTTGTCATTTTGTTAACTAAATCAATATAACCATCGTCATGAATTTTTGAACTACTATATCTTGAGTCAGGTGTCAATGGATACTAGAAAAAGTTGAAAACAATGTAGCATTAAAAATTTACTCCAAATACCTTTTCATACCTTGTTATGATTTGGTTGTTGCTCAAAATTTGTGGTTTTTGCTCGATGTAGTACACTATTTCGTTGCTGACTACCTCCATCGGGCATTGAATGAACAGGGCGAGATAATTGATAAACCGGCGAACGAACGATAGGCTGCGTTTGTTGTGATAGTGCAGACTGAAATCCACGAGATTGATGATATATAGAAGATGGATGATGATGATGGTAAACAGGAGTAGCCAAAGGACATTGAGACATCTAAACAGAATGAGAATATTATGTAAAGCGAGATCTTATAAAATCCAGATAAAATTTTTGTTCCAGGCCATTAGACAATCGTTTAACTTGCCATTGGCTGATGCTGATGTGATTGTGGCGGCATTTGCACTGTGAGAACATGTGGATTTTGTTGTTGTTGTACTGTGGAGTGATGGCTTTGATAATACGCTTGTACGTGAGCTTGATTTATCAACGCTTGCGCAGCTTCAGCAACAATTTGGGTACTCGATGTTGCTGTAGGTACCATCATGGGCGGTGCTTGTAATGTTTGTGCGAGAGGTAATTGTTGTAAATGATGATAATGATGGTGATGGTAGTGTTGCTGCTGTTGTGCAAGAAAATTATCGGTTTGAGGTTGAATCTGAACTGTTCGAGGCCAGGGTTTTAAACCGTTTAACGGGTTTGTTGTTGTTAAAACTTGAGGAGCAAGTGGTAATGACGACTGATATTGTTGCACTGGAGTTGGAGAAGGAAGTAATTGTTGTTTTATCGTTGTTGTTGTCGGTTGTGTTTGTAATTGTGGACAGGTCCGTCGATTTCGTGCACGAAATTTATCCATTTCTTGTTTTGAATGTGCAAATGTACAATGCAAATTTCTTGGACATGAACCTTTTTGCGTAAAATCTCGACACATTGAAACTTTATATTTGGAAACGGCTGTTGTCGATGATGATACACCACTTGAACATGAGGGACCGGTACCATCTAAAAAGGAAATATTGATAATAACTTTTGAAAAGAAAGCAACACGAAGAAACACACGCCTATCAGAATTTTTGTTGATACATGTCGTGTTCAGTCGACAATTACTTCTCAAGCAAACAGTTTATAAAACATATACATACATAATGAATCACTGCCACATCCACCAAGTGGAGATGTGGCTAATGAGGACGATGACGATTGTTGTTGTTGTTGCTGATGATGTTGTTTTGTCGAATCATTAAAATCAATTAATGCTTGTAATATCGTTCTTGATGACTTTAATACCAGACACAAGAATTGCCATGATGTATTCAACTCCCGTTTTTTATCTGTTGTGTCATTACTATCTGGTGTTGGCGATATTGAGTCAAAATGCCTAAACAGAACAACATCCAAAATGTTCATGAAGGGTAACTTGAGACGAAGTATAAAAGGAAATTATTAAAAATTACTATAATACAGGTAATAGACGTGTTTCTGACTAAAACACCAATTGTATTACAAGATAGCGCATGTCGTTTCACTAACCGTGTAGGTGATGTTGATGTTGACTGCAACTCGAATGGAATCTTTTCAAGAAGCTCAAAATCGGGTATCAGCCGTTGTAAATGATATGGATCACCACCTCGTGCTAAAACCGTTAGTAATTCTTTAATGCATTTATCAAATGAATCAGGTGTAACCAATTTCTCAATAACCAGTTCTAATTGTCGCTTATGTTGTGTATCACCGTACAGCAACGATGACCATTGTTCAGGTGAGATGCGTAGACCTTGCTCTTGTGCAATGGCAATGATTTGTGAATCATGTTCACCACGTAATTTTTCATAAGTACGATATTCTGTTTTCAGTTGCATCAATGACGATTCATCTTCACGTTTTTGAACCTACAATAGAACAATTAGAGTAAACAAAAACAGGAAGAAGTGAACATGGGTTAGTACAATGGAAAATGTTTTTCAGATCACATCGATGTTGTGTGCATGTTTCAAGACATATTGTGAACGGTGCATCTTGTATTCATTATTCCAAATGTTCCTTTGAATCTTATTTACAATAATCTCATGATGCTTCACAAGCGAATGTCAGTGTGGGTTTTAAGGTCAAATTTGGAGTGAAAGACATCTATTTCTATAACCATCCATTATTTAACCTTGCAACTTTTTAAAGTAAATACTGTATGGACAGTACATTACTTGTGCGTTTCAAAAATATTTTGAAGTTGGAGTTGAAGTCAGTGGCATATATTAATAAAGTTGTTTTAAAGTAAAATAGTGTATTTCTGATACATAGTTTTTGAGTGTAAATTAAACTAAAGATATAAAGCAATATATACATAGAAAAGCTGCTTTAAAGTTTTGTTCAATAACTTTTTTCGCGCATTCAAGATTATTTTGTACGGTATAGTATACCAAACGTTATGTATCTATCGGTTATTGGTTTAGCAGCCAACATAAGAAAACTCTCATAAGATGTCATATACTACAACACACATGATGCCCAGAGTTACACAATTCTGCGAAACATTCTTTCTTCGTTTATATTCAATTATTTCTCCATTATTCGACTATGTGAATAACTATAATAAGGAGATTGGAAACATCTCCAAAAACGAACAAGTGACAATAGCTTGCTAGAATAAAAGTTTTTTGTAATAAAGCAATAGTATGATACATTAGATGAATGCTATTTTAATTGATCAAATTCATTCATGGTTTCAGCTATAAATAAAAAATTAATTATAATATGAACTGTTCACACAGTATTTACTATGAAAAAACTACAAGATTAAATAATAGATGGTTATAGAAATAGATGTCTTTCACTCCAAATTTGACCTTACAACCCACACTGGTATTCGCTCGTAAAACATGATGAGATTATTATAAATAAGTTTCAAAGGAACATTTGGAATAACGAGTACAAGATGTCATGAAACATGCACACAACATCGATATAAAGTGAAAACATTTCTCACAAGACTATCTTACTTTAAAACATGATGCTCGATATAATAATTGTACAACGTGTCCAACACTTGTTTTAGATGCTCTTGGATATTGTGGTGCTAATTTTTGTACAACAAATAAAACTAAAACTTTTCGTGATAAAGCCGAGCCATCCATTAACGCTAATAATATCAGTTTCAATACTTCTTCTTGCATGGCTAAACAATAGACAACAGTGAAAAGTTTCTCAATACGACATTTTTCTAAAATTTTACCTGGTCCAAGAAACTGACATCCTCTCGCTCTCACTGCTGACCATAGTGTGGCTGTTAGTTGTTGTGGATTTTGATGATGTAACAAAAAATCATTAATTATTCGTTCTCCAAGGTTTCGAGCTTGTCGTAATGCACGAATTCTTCCATCTACTTCCAAATATGAACAATTCACTAGTGAAAATAATTTACGGACTATTGCACGGTTCAACGGACATACAAATTCTTTTCCTAATAATCAATAAAAAGACTCTGTTAAAAAAAGTACAAACAAGGCTTCCAGTAAAACTGATAAATTCATCTGTTGACACCACCTTTAAAAGCAGTTACTACTGAAAACGAACTCTTATAATTACATTTTGTGCATTTTGACACTAAGTCTCGGCTCATGTTGTATTGGAGTCAAGACAATATAGCTTTCTCTTAAACTAGCTTAATTTCGACGATTATTATTGTCGATCAAGAAGTTCAACTATGTACTGTTTTATCATTGACAAATTTAAATATAACAAAGAGTTACATCACTTTTTGATCGAACTATGTTTGAAAAACTAACGAGAGAAGAACGTTATATGTCACCTATTGGTTTTAATAATAAAATAATATCTTCTAATAATTGTTGTGTTGACATAAAACTTGATTTTGATTTTTCATCTAATTCTATGTACATTGGACAATTTTGATATCTCATATCAATATTTTGTGGGATCTAAAGGACAGAAATCAGTAAATAGAAAATTTAGGGCTGTCTTTGGTTATTGAGAAAAAAGTTACTTTTGTGTTTCCCATAAGTAATTTCAATATAGGATAATTGATGTATAAATGTTCAATATCTCCAGTCGATGAATTACATGGTTGTTGATGTTGCTGTTTGCTTACGATTATTGGACACTTATTTGTGAATTGTCTTGAACATAATTGACATATTGTATGGCCACAAACGAGTGTGATCGGTTTTCGTAACTCACAATCAAAATCATGTGTACATTGTGAACAACAAAAATATTCTTGATAATGATGATAATGAGGCGCTGTTGTAATCTGTGTTGGTGATGGAGCAGACATCGGTGTGGATTGGTGATGAGCAATAGATGGCATCTAATTAAAAAAAAATAAATAAACAAAAATAAGTTGAGCCAAATTGGATTAAAAACAATTCCGGATGAGGATTGAACGGAGTTTATTGAAGAAAAACTAAATAGTAATGATTCAAGAACACAACATTTTCTCGTCATAAAAGTCACTCCCTTTTATCTTAAAAAATCATCTTGGAATAAGCAAAACAGTATGATGTATACTATATTTGTTACTCAATTAAGAGCATCTTCTCTATTTTCTTCATTTAAAACACAAATATTATGTCCTACTCAACAATTTTTATTTTTCAAGAAAAAAAATGTTTCACGTCTTTTGAACATGCTATTTAATATTCTAATTTTTAGGACATTGGTATGTGCAAAATGTGTACTTTTTTTCTCGATAAGAACTATCCAACTTTGTACACTTCTCTTTTTTTTTAATAGTGCATATTAATGCTCATTTTGTATAGAAAAGAAAAAACGAGATATAAATCTGATCACATGACGTATCGCTTATATTGTTATCTATGTAAATGACAAAACAGTGATCTTGTACTATTCCAGAAAGTTATTAATACATTTTTAAATTGTACCACATCAGAGTAAAGACCGTTTAAAACCAATTCAAACCGGTTCTGAATTGTGTCACTTCAACATCTCAGTTGTATCTGCGACTCACTCATAAACCACTTACCTTTAAATATTGATGAAAAGGTTTCAAAAAAAACCTGAAGTTGTTGCTGTTTGTTAGTTAGCTTAAACCACTATTAGACTAAACTAAACTGTACTGTTAAATCGAATGTTCTCTCGAAAAGAGGCATTTTTGTCACCCTCATAGAAAGCAGAATAGAAAACGTGCTTAACATATGTTATAATACCTTCTCGGTCGTTCTTTCTCTCTGTTTTTTTACTTATAATTTTAAATCTTGCTCGATTCTTGCATTATAAATACTACTGCACAACACTATTCTTCCTTTATGGGGCAAAAAAATGTCTTCTACATTACACGTATATTTTTCATCTTTATAAAAAAAAAAGGGTTAGAGAGAGGCACACAAGTAAACATGGAGCTAAATAGCTCTTTGATTCACATCTCTATGTTTGATAGAGGATGTTTTCAAGTAACGTTCGATGGTCCATACAACGACCAATCCTTTACTTTAAAACAGCTGTTTAACAGCTGATTCAGAACGTGTATCGTGTCGTGAAAGAATGATCGTACATACACGGAACGAATAAAAAGAAAAAAGAATTAGAAGAAACAACATTATACTAATGAATGCAGTGCCTACATCTGTTTGGAAAGAGAATATGTTACTCTCACAAATATATAAAAGACATGTTAACCTTTTTGTTCAAAAATAACTAGACAAAATGTTTTTTAATAGTTATTAAATTGTCTATAATTCTTCTTCACACATGTTTCTGCTAGTGACTTGGCACAGATCTTACCTTTGAAATCCAATTTTTTCTCTGTCTCGTCGATCAAAAGAGATACTGCATAAAAAAGACATTTAGAACAAATTCGACACGCAAATGGAGTCTAGCATATAAATGACGTCTTTTAGATATTTTTTGATCATACGTTGCTAAAATCAGTATAGAACTAGAAGGCATTGTCTCAATTTACAACTTTTCATCAATCACTATTTTATATGTATGTTTCTCGTTTGTTGTTTGTTCTTTTTAAACTTTATTTTTCCTAAAGATACTGTTTCATATGATGTCACAAAACAAGTTTTAAAAAAGAAACAAAAACATCTGGCTATTGTTGTTGTTGTTATTATTATTTAACCGTTGCCAATACATTTCTCATTTGTTGTCATTTGCACTAAAATTTTTTGCTAATAACCCATCTCTTAGTGCCATACGTGTAATGGAATCATCAGATTCACCTAGATAAAGAAGATAGAACATGTTAAACAAATTGTTTGTTGCCACAGAAACAAAAGTTACCCATCATTCGAATTGATCCACAAATAGCGTATGTTCTCGATTTTCCTGTAACACGACCAGTTTGTTCATCAACATCGGCTATATCGATTTGAATAGCTGCATGATCTTTAGCAGCAATAATTGTGTTTGATGCTGAACATTTTCGTGGAATGTACAATTCTACTTGGGTTTCGACACCTTCAGGTTGCATCGTTGTAGATGATAATTAAGATCAGAATTTTAGATAGAGAGAAAAAGTGTATCTAAAAATTGATAAAACATTATAGGATAATGAAATAAGAATTGAAAGCTTTATTCTGACTGAAGTTTGTGAGAAAATATGTTGACTGATTTAATCTTGATAAAACTGTTGCTTTAGATAAAGTTCAACCGTCGAATGGATGATATCGAGATCGAGACTTTCTTTATTTAATTCATCTTTTCCACAACATCAATTACAAACACGAAGATATTTTTGCGTTTTTATTTGTGAAAACACCATTTCGAATCTTCATATATTAGTACTTGTCAATCATATACTATTAGATAGTTTAAAAATTAAGACAAATAAAGAGAATAGATAACATTGGTACTCGATTAATGATCCTTTAATCATTTATGATATAGAATACATTTATAATTGCCATTTCCTTTAACTTAAAGCACATCATATGAAAAAAGAAAAAAAGTATCAAGAATGGCTAACATGTGCTTGTTTAATATAATATTTTGAAAATTAACTGAATAACAAAAGAATGAAAAATTAACAAAGAAAAACAAAACGTTGTTTTAGAACATTGAGTTTATTTATATGTATAGTACATAAATTGAAAATAATTGTCATTATGACAATCATTTTATTTATTGTACGTTCTTTCTCATGCAGATGATTTCCAAAAATTAGGATTTTCTTGTAGTTTTCGTTGAAAATTTGTATACCATGTTTGTACTTGATTAAGCGGTACAATTTGTTCATTTGTATTCGGTATAGTTTGTGCAAACGATATAATATAATTAAAAAAATTTTGCAACATTTTTGTTGTATACTCTAATTGTGATGAAACAATTGATGGCTGAATATCAGCTGGCTGAGTCTGTTGTTCAAGTTGTGTGAGCGGTTCAGCACTTATTCCAAGTAAACCATCAGTTGCTACAGAAGAATAACCTGAACCAAATACTTGTAATGAGCGCGAGCGATTTTCTTCAGTTTCTAAAATGTAAAACAAAAAACGACCGAAGCTAGATGATTAATATACTTTCATAACATAGATGTTATAGATAATTTATCTTGCTAAAGACTATTCTACACCGTTTATTCCGAATGTTCGATCAGTACTCATCGACTAGTGGCGAAAAAATAATGTCAATGTTCGTTGTCATTCAGGAAAGCTGAGGAGCTGTGATTTTGTATGCAAGAATTAGAAGCCTCTCTCAGTAAAAAGATAAGTGTAAAAGCTTGTAAAAAGTGGCATTTTCAACAAATTTTTGGAAAACAACTACATCCAACGTTTTGTTTTCAATTTTTAATTAAACATGGTCGATGCAAAAAGATAGTCCTGTGTGTGTACATCATGTCGCCAACCCGGGTTTTCATCTACAAGCATATCCAGATGCAATCAGTTTTTGTTTAAGGTTTCTCAAAATACAACCAAACGGCGTGTCATGTTCAGAAAATACTCAATTATACTTGGCTTACATGCTGACAGAGATGAAAAAGTAAAAATCTTTGTTTTCTTACGTGGGAGATTCTCAAGATTTACCAAGAACCGTCTTCAGATAGAGATGGATTCAAAGTTTCTTTAAAGTTCTAACTATTCGTTCTACTCATCTTACGCATGTTTCATATGATTTTGTTTGCTTATGAACGTGATATGGACGACCTCGAATCTAATATTCGTTACGTTTTTTCACTTTTTGGATAGTCATTCAAAAACTGGCTCACGAGGGAAGTACCTCAACTGATAAATCGCTTTTTCAACGAAACCGAGTGGACTATAGGTAGTCGACGATGCTGATTCCGAATATCACCATGAATGCTGCTACTAGGCCTTCAAAGACCGGTCTTCTGGAAAACCAGTTTTCGAGAAACTCTAAAGAACAACCAAAAGCTTTCTTAATGAGGCGTAATTGTAGTCCATAAATTTCTGATTAAAGGCATCTCCCAGCTCTACACGACCTTTCTTTGCAAAGTTATAGAGTTTACAAGAAAAGCCCTAAATGTTCATTGTCACCTCAGAGCTACAGAAAGAAAAACGAAAAATGAATTTAGGGC